CATAAAATGCGTTGCACAAATTCGAACATCTGGGTTTTGCTGTTCTGTTGTAAATAAATCTTAACCAATGATTGCTAATTACATCTACTTCCGGAAGGCCAAATAAAGTGCTTTTGCTTTCGCACTTTAACACACACTGTCTCCCTGACATGGCTGCATCAACACTAACTGCTGTTCCTGAAACCACGCCTTCTTTCTTTGCATGCACATTTGGGTGGCATTATGCTAATATTTCCACATAGTGACGTAGATATGTGGGGGCGTGTTAGAACGAGGCGTTTTAGGTAGGCGTGGTTGACTCTTAACTTTTATAAAGAATATCTCTTTGGATTTCAGACTTTAGTCTTTGCAACTTTACAGATCTTCTTTATGCACCAAGAGCTTGTAACACTCCAAAGAGAAAGGAAAACTTGAAATTGCATCATATGACCCCTTTAAGAGATGTGAGACTCATCTCAGCACATTGCACATCTTTATATTCATTTTTTGAGGCAAATGGGTTTTTTGTTGTGTGTTTTCATTGCAAATGAATGCATAACCTCTTAGCTGTTTTGACATGCTGTCAAGTGTTTTTTATACTTCAGTTTCGTCTACTTTTGTTTAACTGACACTATATCGCTGTCTATCTCCCACTCTGTTTCCCTCCTCTTTGTGTCTTGCCAGACCGTCTTAATTTATTAATGGATCCAACCGGAACTGCGGACTAAAGTTTCTCTTTACCAACAAACAAATTAGTCCTTGTGTGTGAGTCACTTCGGCTCTCCTCCCTCTCCTGGGATTGTGGACGAGAAAAAAAATGCCGCAATGAAACAAAGGAGACATGCAGCTCCGTGACTCCCAAGTGTAGCTCTGGGGCATTTGCGATAATACGGGAAAGCGGATAATATTTTTTCATGGAGCAATCATTTCCATTGTAATTTTGGATGAGCATAATACACGGTCAGGAGCAAATAAAGATTATTTTTAAACAACACGCTTGCTATTTTTGGCACACCGGTTATGCAGTAACCTCAAATGGGATTTAGAGTCATGATGTGTGTCATTTTTGTGTCAGGAAAGAGGTTTCCACTCCTGTCAGAATAATGCACAGTAGGCAATCTGAGATTGTTGAAATTTTGACCTTCCCGCATTACTCAAAAGTTCACTCATTTAGAGCGTGGTTGTAAAGATAGATTGAAAAGGTTGTTTCTGTGTGGGACCATGTGTTCAGGCAGCCGTGGTCGTGTTGTTTTTTTCACATGGCAGGGAGAAGCTTTTCCATTTGTCTCATAGAGTTCCTGTGATATTGTCTCTATCAGAGAAGGTGACCTAAGCCTCTCTAAGAACATAAAAGGTTTAGCCAAAGAAGCTCATATGTCAAGACTATTCTTCTGCTGATCTCTTTCCCCTTCCAGGACACAGCCTTAACCTGGGGTGGTGGGCGTCATCGGGCAATTTGTTTTGTTATTATGGTGTGAATTACTCTTTTCACTGTAGATGGTCTTAGGGAGTATGTAAACCTTCTTGACCTTTGATAATGTCCCATTTGTTAGGTTCATGCTACTGTTTAACCGCATTATCTTTTTTTGGAATTTGCTTAATATATGTGTTTATCGCTCTTAAAAACATTACTCATGCAAATGGGGATCAAATTGGTTGGTTAAAGTTGTCATGAAAGAAAAAGTCACCCTATCTTTTTTCTAAATGCATGTTGTTGATCTTATTGTGAATGATTCATCCATGTATGTTCTATTTTTAAACAAAATTTTAATCTAACTGTCAATCGTCTGGAAAAAACCGTCAAACGTATCCTGGACTTTTCCAATGATTTGGTTTGCTTCAACCCCGTCCCTCCACAATCGACTTCAAGCTTGCATTCATTTTTGAGTGCAGTGCCCACATCTCAAAATCCAAAAAGTTCCTGCCCTACATTTTTTCCTTTTTCGATAATCTGTTTCATCACAACTTTAAATCCAGTATATCTTTAGTTTTTCCATGTGACATGGAAAGGATTGATAGATTGAAAGCTCTTTCTCAATGCTTTCTTGATGCTTGTGACAGATAAAACCAGAGAAGTATTAATTAATCAAACATGGCCTGTGTTTATATTTAAAAAAAAAATGCATGAGAACAATTTATAAATATAATTTTAGAACAAGAATCATTTAGACTGTGAAATGTGGATGTTCAATACCAGAATGTAGCTAAATCAAATGATAGTTAGCTTAAATAGATATTTGGTTATTGGCTGATGATATCCAAAAGCCTCTGTGGCCTAAGTGGCATCAGATTGATTGAAAAGTTGTTTCACGTTTAATAGGGAGAGGTGTAATAAAGATTATTAAAGAACCCTTAAAAAGTTATGTTTTGGTCATATTAGTCTAACTGTACTCTTCTCTCTTTTCCATTCCAGTCTGTGGTCCTCACATTGATATCCGCAATGACATCAGTGAGTTCAAGAAGCTGGAGAACTGCACGGTGGTGGAAGGCTACCTTCAGATCCTCCTCATTGGAGACAAGAACAACAACCTCAACCAGGAGCACTTTCGTACCCTGTCCTTCCCCAAGTTGACCATGGTCACCGACTACCTTCTCCTGTTCCGAGTCTCCGGCCTGGATAGCCTCAGCATGCTCTTCCCCAACCTCAATGTCATCCAAGGACGCAAACTGTTCTACAACTACGCCCTGGTCATCTTTGAAATGACCAGCCTGAAAGATATTGGCCTCTATAACCTGAGGAACATCACCAGAGGCGCTATCAGAATCGAAAAGAACCCGGAGCTGTGCTACTTGGACTCGGTGGACTGGTCACTCATTATGGATGCAGAGTTTAACAACTACATCGCTGGGAACAAGCCGTCCAAAGAATGCGGTGATGTTTGTCCAGGTATCATGGATGATAGAACCCAGTGCATTAGGACCAGCTTCAATGACAACTACAGCCACCGCTGCTGGACCTCCAACCACTGCCAGAATGGTAAGAACCCACCAACCATACTTGATCTTGCTAATGGTAGATTTATTTCTGGTTTTATTTCTAATGGATTCACATTTGCTGGCATTTAGCTTATCGTTCCTTCAAAGGGGATTTGAATGAATAATGACATGAATGGTAAAACTGAATGAGGCTTAGACTGCATAAGATAAAGCTAAGTTTAGCTAAACCGATGGAGGGATACTGTTTGCTTGGCTTGGGAACTGGAGGTCTGTCTCTCTGGCAGGGTCTTGTCAGATAAATATTTGGTTAGTGTAATCTATGTTGTGTTGAGAGAGTTATGACTAGACTGTCCACCAATTCATCAAAGGCATTGACAGTAGCTGAAGACTGAGGGTGCTGAAAACAAAACAAGGATTTCTGTGACCTGAGGTGACATTCTAAGGAGCACTATGCTAAATCCATCCATAAAAGTGTGCTTTTTGAACCCTAAATTATGTGTAACTGCACTCTCAAATCTCTTTTCATTGCTGTTGAAGTTGGCTGATTTATGCAGTTTTGTACTTTTATTTATACTAGAGATGGATTGATATAATTAGCCAATATTTGGCCACAGGTTCGTGGCTCTTCAACGGCTTATTGTGCAGTAGTGAAAGACCGATATATTAGCCAGGGCGATTATTTGGTAGTTTTGAGCAATTCTACTGACCGCTTTGTCAGTAGATAGTAATTCATTTCTGTTTTCAGTGGTTTTTGAAGTTTCAGTAAATTTTGGATAAAATAAGTTTTCTATTTGTTCCACCAAGTTTGTTTGTTTATTTACTTTATTTTTATATATATGTAT